TCCTCCAAGACCTCCTACTCAATATACAAAATGATGAAGTAAAGGGTATAAAATATTAATTGGTACGAAAATCAAAAACTATAGCTTCTTACCTAGCCTTGATAATCCTGTATTGGTTTTAGGTGCGTCTGTTGAGTCGTTATTGTATGAAAGCGAATAAGGTGAGGTGAAAAGTAGTTAGTCAATTTCGCTAAATTTCTTTGTTTGCATCGAAGACACTTACGGGTGATGGTGGGCATTTTTCTTTTTACTGTCGAATAAAAAAAATATTTTTATTGTTATAAGCAATTATGCTTATTCTAGGATATCGAACTAAACCATTGGGAGACACTTACCAGTGGTGGCGGGCAACTCTACAATAATGTGGATGTGCTCACTAGGAGGTTGTCCTTTGAAAACTTGTCCAATAGGTTTGAGGTTACTGGTCAATTCCTCACCTTTAAACTTTTCTTTGATGTTGATTCCTTCATATATCTCATGTATCTCATTTTCAGGAATATTAACTCGCCATAATATCAGAGAGTTTGCGTCAGTATTGCCTAAGGCCACACTTTTCTGCTCCTTGATGGCTCTCTTGAGATGTCCGATGGTCTTGCCTGTATCGAAATCAACAGGAAATGCGTTCTTTTCGCCTAAAACGATACAACCTAGCATAATTTCGGTATATCTAATAGCGAAAATCGGGAGTTAGACGCAATGTTTACAAGTAATTTTTTCAGTAAAAATATAAATGACGACCTTTTTAGCTGATGATCAGTAGACATTTTGATTCCTTATGGTTGTTGACTAGTTGTGACGAACGGTAAGTAATATTATAACAGACGAACGGTGAATAGTATTACAATTAACAACACAAGTGGCTGATCCGATAATGCTTACTGAGTTAGATATACAAACAATCAAAGTAATTGCTATTGTAACTGATGTGCAGGAGCATATACAGCAGCTAGGTATGTACTATGTTTTTATCTTTAAAATAACTAAAATTTTTTTAGATATTATTTGAGAATTACAAAAAGATCAATCGTATTTCTACCATGTTATACACATCAGATAAATTTGTGTATTAAAGAATCAACTGGTTTCAAAAATATTATTGATCAGGCAATTCATCTTGCTACATATTTTAAAAATCCGATTCACAAGTTTTTTATAGCATAAAGTATTTTACAATTGATGCTCTGGGAGCAACACGATGGAACAGTTTTTATACTGTATGTTGATAAGATCACAAAAGGTATTACAGGTAAATCAATATTAATTGTTTTATTTATTAAATCTTATTTTACTCATATTTTTCTCTGATTCTTCAATATTTTGCCATCAACATTAATTCGTTATTACTGTATTTAATTGTCAATTTTGTTGTGTTCGTCATCTATTTTGTTGTGTTTGCCATTGATTTTGTTGTGTTTACTGTCGATTTTGCCACCGTATTTCGTTATCAATTTGCTACAGTATTTCACGTCAATTTTGCAGCCGTATTTCACATCAATTTTGCCTTGGCCAATTTTGTCATACTGCATTATCGATTTTGCCACATATCATTATCAATTTTGCTATCAATTTTGCCATCGTATTTATTGTTGATTTTATCATATTTCACATTAATTTTGCTGTCGTATTCAGGTTGATTTCGTACCAATTTGCCATCAATTTTATCGCACTCCATCACTGATTTTGCTGCCGTATTTTGCTATCAATTTTGCTGTGATATTTCACATCAATTTGGTCATGGTATTTTATATTCCATCATCGATTTTGTCACACTTTATTATTGATTTTACTGCTGTGTCAATTTTGCCATCATATTTCGTTGTATTTCGCATCGATTTTGCTGCTGCATTTCATGATATCTCACATCGTTTTTGCCGTACTCCATCATCAATTTTGTCACACTTTATCATTGAATTTACTGCCATATTTTACTATCAATTTTGCTGTCATATTTCACATTAATTTTGTTGTCATACATCATACCAATTTGTCGTCGTATTCCGCATTGATTTTGCATCAATTTTACCATTGTATTTTGTGTTATATTTCGTATCAATTTGTCATGGTATTTCATTGTTGATTCTGCCATACGTCATCACCAATTTTATTGCACTCCATTGAATTTGTCGCCGTATTTCAATATTAATTTTGTCATATTTCGCTATCAATGGTATTTTATGTCGATTTTGCTGTACTCCATTATCAATTTTGTCGCACTCTATCATTAATTTTACTACCATATTTAGGTGATAGATTCTTTGAATCACCCATCAGAGAAACTCATCGACATGCTGGAGAAGAACCAAAATTAAAACATGAAATATACGAAATTATCAGCTCTACAAATTTCTGGACAATATCTATCTCTTGCTCAATATCCTCCAGTCTTATTGCAGTATTTTGATTATCTTGCAATTTGACAAAGCACGATTATTATAAGTTGCAATTCTGGAAAGATCATAATAATGTAACCACTTAGTATTATATTACGATTAGAATGCTGATGGCATGATTGGGAACAATCTTTATTGATTCTCGCCTGCCTTTTGCATTCTAATTACCATATGGAGCACTTCAACAAAATATCAACTATACCAATTTCAGCCCATGGCTTATAAAGCATGGTTTGGGAAGGAAGCAATTTGTATTCTTAAGGAATTTGATGATTTTTGCTGAAGACAATATCCTTTTGACGAAACTACATGGAAGCAATTTTCAGGTGATATTTATTGTTTTGCAGGTGCATCAACAGAAGAACTAGGTTTGGTAGCAAATCGAATTTTTGGAATATGTACAAATGAGCAAATTGCGTGTAAATATTACATATAATCACCAGCTTCAATCTATTTTGACAATGAATAAAAATATATATGTAACATCTTTGAACAACAACCTACATTGGAAGAATCTCAAACTGAAGCATCTGCTTCAAATACTACACAGAACAAGATTTTTCTGAAACTACGATAATGAATTGGTGAATTTGAGAGAGATTTTGATAATTATTTACAAGGTGAGCAGATATGCTAAAAGAAGAGCAACGATCGATTTGAAAGAGAAGATATAGAAGAAGAAACTTCTATAGAAGATATTACTCATCCTGGAGTTGATAAATATGCAAAATGGGAATTATCATCTCTTTTTAAAGAATTAATATTGCCATTTTAATAAAAAATTTCATTTTATTTTTTGTTTTAAAATATATTTTATTTAAAGATTCTTGGACATGATTTTTTTGGACATTGGACTAAACTGTCCAGTCTAGTCCAAGTCCAGGTCCAGGTCCAATGACAACACTGGATGTAATGTATCTGGCATTTTCATGCGAAATTCTTACACGTAATACGTTAAGTTCTATGAAGATATACCGATACGTAGCGATAATATCGATATCAATATCGAATTTTGCTTTAATATAAACTCAAAATTTCTAGCCTAATGTCGTTATAGCAATTAAACGAATAAACTATATAAATAATAAATTTTGGATGTTGTGCTTTAACTCGAGGCACAGTTAATAAAATATATAAATGTCAACTTAATTTAAGAAAGTCTAAAGTTATTTTTTACTTTGTTGGAAGTGTTTCATCAATCATTTTCTTTGTTTCATGTAGTATACTGAAATCGAAATCTGTTTTGCACACAAAGGAAAAATAATAATGAGTACATAAAAGAAATTAATTGAAAAATATAAATGTAGATTTTACCTTCGTTTGGAACAAACAGATTGATAATTGACATTCCTATACATTTGATATGAATTTTGATTATTGTGAAATGCTAATATGAATTTCAAAATAAAAGTACCTGTCTCAGTTGGAATTGAAATTAGTTTTCTGGTAAAGACTCGACTGGTGAAAACTGCATTGAAGTGGATTTGTTGTTTTTTGTTCGTATTTGTAGGAACACTTTTTTACCCTTTCATTTCCTCATATTTCTGCTTTTCCAGTTTAAGACACTCAATAATTTCTTCATTAAGATATTCTAAAGAGCTGTAGTACTGAAAATGTAAAGTATTCGGTTCTATATTATATCCGTTGAATGGTTTGATAAAGTTATCAAGTTCCTCAGCAGTTTTCTGGAATAGGATCCCAACATTTTTCAATAATAAATTTGCCCCATCCGGGAACATTATTTGGTATTGTCGGCCGTACTCCATTATATATGTCGTATACAAAATAGTGATCATGACCGTTCACCTGTGGTAATCTCGTACATAATTAACCAGAAACTATAAATCTCTGTAGCTTTAGTGTATGATTTGCCATTTAGTACCTCTAGAAGTACTCCGCAAATTTGTTTGATCAGATTTTTCTATATCTGCTGGGCCGGTAAGTCCAAAATCAGCAATGAAAGCATCATTACACCACACTAATATATTTCGAAGGTGAAAGTCACGATGCACAAGTTCCTTATTGTGAATTTTACTCAGCCCTGAAGTAATACTCATTAAATATTCTAATTTTGTTGCCAATTCAATTTTTTTGGTGGTTGGAATTCATATATGTGCGTAGATCGCCATCTTCTGTATAAGTCATTACTATCGAGTATTCATATCGATATCTTATTTCATAACTACAACCACCAGTGCATTTTAGAGCAGTCAGAATCTAATTTTGAAAAAGTTAATTATATTGAAAAACAAAAGAGCAATATGCTTATACTTTAAAAGGTGTTCATTTACCTCGTTTATAAAATCGGATGTAATTTGCTTTGAATTGTGTAATGATTTCAACACAATGTCGGTTTTCCATCTCGTTTAAATTTAATTTTTTCATGATCCCATTTGCTAATTGTTCCGTCCTTTATAAATTGATCCGAAACCTCCTTTTGCAAGATATTCAACATCGGTGAATCTTTCAAAAGGGATCCATTCGAATTTATCATTAATTTCCGCGCATGCATTTATTAAACTGTCGATATCTTTATTTTCGCTAGACAATTCGATTCGTTTGTGGTAATCAATACATGAGTATTCATTAAGCTGAGTTTTAGTTATTCCATAATATTTTATATCAATGCACTATAGTGCAGCCAGAATCTAATTTTGAAAAGTTAATTGTATTAGAAAACCAAAAAGCAACTTGATTACATGTTAATTTTTACCTCGTTACTAAAATCTAATGTAATTTGCCTTGAATCACGTAATGATTTCAACACAACTCGATATTCTACCCATCGTTTAAATTTATTTTGTTCTTGATCCCATTTGTGAATTGGTCCGTCCAACCAGGCCAGGTTGCCTTATAAATTCTTCCTGTTGGAAGATAATTAACATTGGTAAATCTCTCAAAAGGAATCCATTCACATTCATTTATTAGACTTTCGATATCTTTATTTCCACTTTTATAAATTCGTTTGTGATATTTGAAACAGTCATCACAGTACTCGTTTTTTTGACATTTGGTACATTCACTACAATCATGAGTATTGTGAACTGAACACTCATCGCAGTAACCCCATATGTGACACCAATAACATTCACTACAATCATGACTATTCGAAGTTTTAGATGCCATCTTTGAGTTTATTTACGGCAGTGAAAGTCGTCGTCCACCTCCGTATCGATTTATGCATGAAAAGAATACTACGTATATACGCCCAACATGTACATTATTATTGCCAAGTAAATTTTTGGAGATCGGAGCTAAGAAACTTGGCTTAAAGAAGGGGGGGATTTGCTCACACACAAGACCGTCCAATTGATGAAGCGATAGAATTGGAATTCAAGGATTCCTCGCCAAGTGTAAATCCCTTAGACAAAATCCTTCCTTCAACCGTTTAATGCTAAAGAAGTTTACCGCCATCCATCTCATAAAAAAATCAAGTTCTCGGAAGATCTTAAATACCATTCGGCGCACCTTCAATTCTTTATTTATTATTACCATTAGAGCATCGACTTTCGGTATCATTTGGCGCATCGTCTTGAGAGAATATCCAACTTTTAAATTTTTTGAAAAATCGAAAGAAAAAACCTATTTTTTTTTTTTACTAAAAATGAATACATATGTAAATCTCAAATTTGCTCTTTATTTTCTCTATAGATTAATGTTAACAAAATAATTTTTAAATTACAATCATGCAAAAAAATTGGATGTTACTTTTAAAAGAATTTGCTTTGTATTTATATGATGTCTTATCATACGAAATAAATTTTTAATATTAGCAACGAATGTATGCAATTCTATTGATGAGGTGTATAGTGAGTAGAATGAAGTGATCATGATGAAGATATTGTTCATAGGGATTGATTGTGATTGAGTGAATAAACCCACAAGCTTAAAAATTTGCTTCAAATAAATACGACAATTCCTTAAGTACCGTCGTATTTCCATTATTCTCTGCTTTGCGATACCATTTCATTGCCATGTGCAAGTCTTTAACGACACCCCACGAATACTGATAACAATTTCCAAGATTGTATTGTGCGGTGGCATGCTGCGTGGTACTCTCGGTCGCTTTCTCAAACCAATAAAAAGCTCTTCGTGTATCTTTGGTGGTTCCAATTCCTGCATGATAACAATATCCGACCATATTTTTCCCATATACATTACCATGAAGTGCCGATTGTTGATACCAATAGAATGCTTTTATTGGATCTTCTTCCACGGAAATACCTTCACGATAGCAATCGCCTAATGATAATTCACCTCCTGAGTTTCCAGCTTTAGCGGATTTTTCGTGCCAGTAGAAAGCTTTCGATTCATCTCTCTCGTCTCTCTCAGTCCCAGTACCGGAATAATAACATTTCGCAAGTTCATTCATTGCATCAGGGTTATCACCAAGAGCGGAGATTCTGTACCAGTAGAATGCTTCTGTGGAATTCTGTTCCGTGCCAATGCCGTCTCGATAACAATCACCAAGGTAAAGTTGGCCATAGGTGTATCCACCTTTCGCCGACTTTAAATACCAAGATAATGCGGTGTTTTTTTGTACAGGAGTTCCAATTCCCTCGCAAAAACAATTCCCGAGATTACTTTGTCCTCCAGCATGACCGTTATTAGCTGATTGTTCATACCAATAAAATGCTTTAGTTAAATCTTTTTCCGTCCCAATTCCCATTTGATAGCACCAAGCTACCTGATTCTGAGCCAAAAAATCTTTTCCTGATTGGGCGGCTTTTAAATACCAGTAAAATGTCTCTTCACGATTAACTCGCGTCCCGATTCCCCAATAATAAAGAAATGCTAGTAATGAAGAATATTTTAGCTTGTCTCGTTGTTCGTAAACTTGATTAAATAAATGTTCAGGATCATGTTGAGTTTGCTTTAACCAATGTTCTACTTTCTCAACTATTTTCTCGTCGTCTTCATATGCATCATTTCCTGTGTTAAAAATTGACAAGAGCTGGTCAATGGGTGAGTTTTCTTCGTGAAAAATGAGATTTAATGATTGAGTTGATGCTACTTGTGACATATTCACAAAGCTAAAAGGTGTTTCTGTGCGAAAACTTTGTACACTCGATGATAAAGATATTGAGGATGATGAAACGGAGGAATTATCTTTTGCGTCTGACATCACAATATCGTTTGAAGTGTTTTTTTCTAGAATATTCCGGTTATAGGTATCATAATTTTGATTAATGTGCGAGTATTCTGTGTTGAGATGGAGGAGGAGGTTGTTATCTTGGTTTTCAAAATTCATTTTTAGATATTTATTATTTCTTCTCAACAAAAAAAGCAATGAATTATTATTATTTCGACCAAATCAATACGAAAAGATATTTCAATCAGTAATATTTATTATTTCGATCAAAATCGATATTTCAAATCAAATTAATTCAAATGGTCGTGTTATCGTTATCGTTATTATTTCTTATCTATTAAAAAACAAAAGTAGCTGTATTTATGAATTATCGTTTGCTGAATCATCATGCTATTTAGAAGTTCTACGGATAAAAGCCACATGGTTTCACCAATTTTCTTGGCATCATTGTTATTACACTGCGCATCGGCATAAAATATACGCCAGTTGTTTAAATGGTGCGCTCTGTCACAAGGTTGGTAAACGGTTATCGTTATTTTTAGATGAACGACATGAATGGTATTTTATATGTGTGGTAAAAGCCGAATTATGCCGTATTAAATAAAACGGCTGTGAATCCAAAAAGGGATATTCGCAGAATTTGACAAAGAAAAATCGCGATTGGCTATGCAAGTATTCGGACATACCCAGTACGGTAAATCTCGAATTTTATTGCAGTACAAATTGATTTCGAATGCAAACAAACTTTAAACACAGTCTAACGCTAACGCTAACAATAGAATTAAGTAACCCAACTCTATTAGAGAAACAAAAAGCATGTGAATGTTGCATTACTTAAATATTTTGCAGGTATGTACAGTTCAGAGGGTCAACTAAAATTAGGGCAGTCGTTAAAATTAAAATAATGAAGAAATATGATTTTATGAAAAGTCGATTTTTTTTACTAATACAATGATCTTTCATGTATTAAATTCTACGATATAAATGAAATCAAACATAACTGATTATTTTACAAGCTTTGAAATATCATTTTCTAAAACTTTCATTCGTGAACTTTGAATGAGAGACAATGCCAAATTTTAACACAATAAATGCTAGTAATTAAAATGTTGACCAGATTCCATTCTACATACGTATTTGCAAATTGTCATAGCGATAAAGATTGAGCATTAATCCATGAGCTATTGTGTAAAATTCTTTTAAGATGAATTTACATATACAGTACAAAGGTAACGGTAACGGCAAGTCAAATTATTAATTTTAGCCAATGAAAGTGAAGATAGTTGTAAATTCACCTCACAAGTTTCAAAATATTTTTGTGTTTTTGCACAATAGTTCAATTTGCAAATACGCATGTAGAATGGAACCTGATGAACATTTTAATTATTAGCATTTATTGTGTTAAAAATTGGCATTGTCTCTCATTCAAAGTTCACGAATGAAAATGATATTTCAGAGCTTGTAAAATAATCATTTATGTTTGAAGTGTTCCAAATTTCACTATATCGTAGAATTTAATATGGTGAACATGTTTGATTATTACATGAAAGATCATTGTATTAGTAAAAAATCGACTTTTCATTATTTTAAATTTTTAACGACTGTCCTAATTTTAGTTGACCCTCTGTACATGTGTCATGATTAATTGCTTGATGACGAAAATCTCGTTATTAGATGAGGACATAGGCATTTAGATTTATATGCATCATGAGTGAAGTCGCTTTCTTAACTAATAAATTTTCTTAAAGTCATAGAAACGCTTAATATCGTACTCCCAAAACTAACGCCCGGTCCAAAATTATATAATAAAACATAAATTTTCAAGCTATGTATATGTCATAAGTTGGAATGGAATCTGTGTTGATTCCGAATCAACCTATGATTCAGAATTAAATATCAATAACTTTACCAATATTAATTACAAATATAAAGTATATTATATTAAATTGTAGCTATTATTAAGTATTACAAATTTATAAAAGTTTCAATTTTTAATAAAAAGTATATTATAATTCTAAATAAATTTGTAGTTCTCAATAATAACTACAATTTGATATAATATACTTTATATTGGTAATTAATATTGGTAAAGTTATTGATATTTAATTCTGAATCATAGGTTGATTCGGAATCAATACAGATTCCATTCCAACTTATGACTTATATGGAGATGAGTCAATAGAAGCCAAGCAAATTATACATGTATATACGTATATGTTTTTTAAAGCTAATCAATTGTATTTCTGAAAAAATGAACAAGACTTATGGAACTTTTAAAACGAAAGAACTGTTTTAATTATAAAATCAATAAAAAATTTTTATATGTATTTTACTATATAATTTTAAATCGGATGATACTTTTTGGGGGTACTGTACGTACATGTACTTCACTTGAAATACAGTATCACCAGCTGCAAATATCTGAATCCCATTGTTTTCATTAACAATATCGATATTAAATCTTTTTAATCTATTTTTTCGTCAACCGAAAAATTGACATATAGAATTTTCATTTTAAGATTACGGCTTAGTCAATGCTACCTACCCTACTCATTGTTTCGAGCCTATATTCATTAAGGTGTTAGAGTTTCTTATCAATATTGTTTTATGCTTTTCTCAATAAATACATGTATATGCTAAATTCACAGGTAGAAAGGGGTAAGTATCCTAAGGGGTAAGTATTCTAAGAGATAAGTATCCTAGTGGTTATCGTTATCCAAAATTAAAAATGTGTGAAATGGACCAATGAGATTAGAAATTAATAAGCCAATAGGGTCACTAGTTTCAGCTTCAGCCCACCACATTGCTTCATGACATCAGTGTTGTTCTGTACTTGTAATCGAAAAGAATATCTTATCGTTATGTAAATAAAATTGCTGAGCACTTTTATCAGTCACACAAACTTGGTTTACTAAATATGTACGTACGCGATTTCTCGTTTTTACATGTGATTTCTTTTGGCACCAAAACACGTTATTTTTTTCGTTTCTAATTGGTCAGTGCTCGTCACCAAGAGTGACTATAAATGATTAGAAAAATCGGAATTCCGCCTAGAGGTTTCCAACAATGGAGCACCAGTGCACTTACCCCTTTCTACCTGTGTTGCTTCGAGCTTTGCAAATTCAATGTATTTAGCGAATTATGTTTAGTATTCAAAGTACACAGTCAACCCCCCGTTAAACTGAAACACCAATTAAAATCCACTTCAATCCATCGAAGTTGGTTTAAGATAAACCTGCCTCAATAAACCGAATTTACTAAAACCCCCCGAAATAATACTAAGCATGAGGTTAAGAGCTAAGAAAAACTCATTCATTTCTTGCATAATCGATCGATATATGTGTATCGTAAAAATTGCATTTAATTTTTATCGTTATCTACTACAACATCCATCTTATACACCTACACCTACTACATCGTTGAGAACACATCCATCTTACAAATCATAGAAATTACTATATGGAGGTGTAGGATATCTTAAATAAGAAGGCGGTGGTATTCCGAGACGAGGAGGCAAAATTTCTGAATGAACTTTTGCATTTGGAGCAAGATGATGAGCTATTAAATCCTTTTTAAGCTGTGAAGGAAGGATCTTTTTAAAAGGATGTATTCTAAAATAATAATCTTCACTTGCAATAAAGCGGATATGTGGAATGTAGTCTTGCACAATATCTCTGAATTTTCGCAAGTCTTCGGAATTCCAGATTTCAACATTTTCATTAATCGGACCGTCGTCAATTTGTGCGCTTCCCCATTCACAAGCGAATTCCAAATTTCGATTTCTTGTATCTTCAAATCATTTCGCTTTAACAAAGAAATCAAAAAATTTTTCTCTATCGAAGTAAAAAAAAGGTGATTTGAAAATCAATTCTGGCTCTGTTTTGATTATCTCTTCAATATCATTGATTATTTTGCAAGATTCGATCTTTGATAAGACTTGTTGAATCTTGATCAACTCTTTTCTGACCCATATCTTTCCATCAGAAGTTCCTACGTATATCTGAATGCGAGCAGTTAATGTTTCGAGAAGCAATTCGTCAGCAACGACAAGAATATCAAGCAAGTCTTCGTCATCAAAAGAAAATCAAATTCTCCTGTGTAAATATAACTGGAAATAAAAAATTTTACATAGCTGCATTTGTGAGTGTCTTTATTTATTTGAATTATCGTTATGAAAAATTTTATTTACCAAATAATTTTTTCAAATACTTTTGGTCGTATATTTGGTTTTTCCATTGCAATAATTACATCCGATTGACGAGCCCACGATCGAGAAAGAGCAATTTTGAAATATTGGGATCTCGCTCGTAGAATCACCGAGTGTGCTAAAAACGTTTTAATATAATCGCCTTGTCCTACTTTGATTGTCACATTATAGTCTTCGGCTTCTTGGAAAAGCGATGAAATATCATTTAATAATATATTAGAAAGCAGAAATTTAGGCATTTTCAATATCAATATTTTGTTATCATATTTAGAGTTGATTTATCTTAACACTAACGCTAACCTCCATTTGTATGTGTTTTGTGTTATAGAACTTCCATTCGTGTGTGTGAATCAATTCTGCGTTAAACTATATTTGATATATTAAAAGAAGAGACTTTATTATTCCAATAAACCATACATGATATTAAGTGTTTATATCGAAGTTAATTAAATAACGTCAACTCAGAATTTCTAGTCTAACGTGTTGCTATATTAATTTATCCGAACTCATTTACCCCGACATGAATGGAGATTTCCCTGACAAGAGATATTGTGATATAATATATTAACTGGCTGGTTTTGCATGGAATTAACATGTTAGGGTTAGAATCAGAGTTAAGATTATATATAAAGGTCATCCCCAACATTTTTGCTTAGTATACCAAGCTAGATTTGTCAGGAAAATGTTAAATATTATGTCGATGAAATGTCATGTCGGAGATATGTTCTATCGGGGATATGGGTGGTCGCTTAATAGGTTATCGAGGATATGGATTGTCGAGGATATGACTTCGGGGAAATGTTGTGTTGGGGAAAGGAAGGGGTTTAGTCTAAGAAATTTAGATGGGATAACGGATATCCCATTATCCTAGCTTCTTGAATTAATGTTTCAGTTAAAAATTCTATTTCTTCCCAAATTTTAACTCCTTTGGTGTTACACGATCCAACGAACAAAGAGGAACGCTTTTCCACTCTTTTTCGATGTACATAGTCCTCGAGTCGCAAACTGGGTCCTATGGAATGCACGGATATATAATGTGTATTAACTCGTAAGCTTCCTTTTATTTTTTGCGGACTGAACGAACCACCCTAAGCCCACTATACAGTAATTACGCGATTTCTACAACATAAATACAAAGTCAGAGGCTCTATCGTCTCAATAGTAGAAACGAAATTTTTGCATGCCAAAGTATACTCGTAACAAGGAACCTGGGTAGTTAATCTATCAACGCAAAAGGGACCCTTATACTCTAATAGTATAAAAAAATTCGAAATTATATATACCCGGTTCGGGTTGAAAAAAAGATTATTCGTTGTTGTTAGAAATTGGCTCATTATACTCTGCTGGTAAGGTCGAATTTTTTTCTTTTCGTGTCCACATTTTTT